AATCAGCTCCAGGTCTTGTTTTTGCTGACTGTGTAGAGCTTCTCCATCTTTGGCTGCAGAGAATATAATAAATCTGATTTCGGTATTGCCAATCTGGTGATTTCCATGTGTAGAGTCGCCTCTTGTGTTGTTGGAAAAGACTGTTTGTGATGACCAGCTTGTTCTCTTCACGAAACTCTATTAGCCTTTATCCTGCTTCGTTCTGAACTCCAAGGCCAAACTTCCCTGTCGTTCCTTTTATCTCTTGATTCCCTACCTTAGCATTCCAATCCCCTAGAATGAGAACATCTTTCTTTGGTGTCAGTTCTAGAAGGTGTTGTAAGTCTTCATAGAATTGGTCAATTTCAGCCTCTTCAGCATTGGTGGTTGTTGCAGAAACCTGGATTAATGTGATGTTGAAAGGTCTGCCTTGGATTTGTGTTGAAAGCATTCTATCATTTTTGAGATTATATCCCATTACAGCTTTTCCCACTCTTTTGTCGACTATGAGGGCTACTCCATTCCTTCTGCAGGATTCTTGCCCACAATAGTAGATATGATAATCATCTGAATTGAATTTGCCCATTCCTGTCCATTTTAGTTCACTGACGCCCAGGATGTCAATGTTTCTTCTTTCCATCTCCTGTTTGACCACATCCAGCTTCCCAAGATTCATAGATCTTACATTCCAGGTTCCTATGCTGTATTTTTCTTTGCAGCATCAGACTTTCCTTTCACTTCCAGGCACGTCCACAGCTGAGCGTCCTTTCGGCTTTGGCCCAACCACTTCATCACTCTGGAGCTACTTGTACTTGTCCTCCGCTCTTCCTCAGTAACATGATGGACGCCTTCTGACCTGAAGGTCCCATCTTCTAGCGTCATATCTTTTAGCCTTTTGTTTCTGTTCATGGGGTTTTCTTGGCAAAGATACTGGAGTGGCATTGCCATTTCCTACTCCAGGTGAAAAGCGTTTAGTCAGAACTCTCCATTATGACCTGTCCGTCTTGGATGGCCCTGCACATGCATAGCTTCCCTGAGTTACTCAAGCCCCTTCGCCACGACAAGGCAGCAATCTGTGAAGGGGGGCGGAGATCTTACTACTTCCTTAACTTTCTTGCAGCAGGATGGGTCACTTTAATCTACCAGAATTGCTTTTGTTGAACAGTTCATGCAGAATTTGACCTATGATGCACCATAAACAGTGTCTCCATTTTCAGACAAACAAAAATTTATTGTTGGTTTTGTCACTGGGATACTTTTTATTCCAGCCAAAGTTTCACAGTTGAAATCTGTCGATTTTTTCATCAAACATCTTAAACATTCTTTTGTTTTTCAATGCCTTCTCTTCCAACTTTTCAGTTATACTAAGTTCTTTATATATGTCTCTGTGAATGCGTATTTTTACACAAATGCCAACAAGAACATACATTAAGCTTCACATTTTCTTCACAAATACAGATACCTCAGCTCTTTCTAACAGGACAGTTAACAAACTTTCTATCTTAGACTCAGGCTTCATTCCAACCTGACCCCAACATTTTTTTCATCGAACTAACTGCTTCTAAGGCAAGCCACCAAACTGTCTCACACACCTTATTTGTAAATATAATAACATCTCTACAACCAGGCAGTATAACAGCCAATAAGGCCACAGTTCCATTCATATACATTTTATCCCCTGCTCCAAAAATCTTTGAACAGCCTCTCCTATATACAGAGCACCACATTCTCCTTTTAAGGCAAAGGAACGAAGGGGGTAAGCAGACAGTAATAGCAAGAGGAACATCAACAGAATCAGACAGCTCTAATGATCAGTAGTAGCCTCTACCCGCATGGAGTTATAGGACTATCCTGGTGCTGGCTTTGCAAGATGAACTCCTCTCTTAAAGGATGAGGTAGATCTGGAAGTGATAAATCCTCTGCATCAATTATGTGAGCATTTCAATCAGATACTCAGGTTTCTCTCAAAAGCATAGTTGAAGTTAGGTGTAAAGCAAGGATTTGTATGCTGATATCTTTGTGCTGGCACAGGATTTATATGCCAGTATCGGCCTCACATACTCCTAGTGGTTGCCCTGATACAGTAACATACACTCTGCTACAGTGACATTACCGGTACTAGCATTACAGCTAACATTCATGCTTGATAATACGGTAGTTGTAGCACATCAGAGAGCAGATTATTTTATAACTAATGCCTTGTATGTCTTCAAGATTTGGCAAATTAACGTCTCTTCCCATCCACAAAGATAACTGCAGTCCAACACTATACTCTACTTAAAGACAAATAAAATGAACAAAGCACTTCAAACATGCCTGCGTGCAGAGATCAAGGATTTCCTGTAATTCTAGCCTCTTTCTCTATAATATGCAAAGCAGACTAGAAAACATAGTTAAGTTTTAATTTTTATTCCCTTCCTCTCTCCAGAATAATTTCAAACATACAGCAGATGCATAATGAATCTATCTGTCCTCTGAAATATATCTCAAAATGTTAAATATTTCAGAGTTTCCATATGTACTCAATTTTCTCTTCATATTATGTTTCATGGGTCTCTAGGGCTGGAGGATTTATGTTAACATTTGATGCCATTAAGTCTTCCTAGAGTTAAATAAACCATTTTTATTTAATCATTAATGCTTTAGTGCAACAACTGACCCCAGGGAGAAAATGGTAATGCAATATTCTAGGGCTTTTTCAGGACTGAAAAAAACAATTTCATTGTACAAAGCTCTCACTTAGTCTTTAGGGTCACTTCACTTTTAAAAAATGTCCCTATTGCACTCTTTATGAAGGAGAAATAACAGAAATATTTTAATACTAGAAATTAGTGATTATTCACTTTATTTGCTCTGTTGTAAGTTTGGAGTTAGCTCCAAATGTTTGGCCTGTTAAAGCAAAGGGAGATACCTTGAAAACAGCAGTTGACTGTGCATGTTGCCTGAAATATCTCAAATGATACTAGTTGCAAAAGGTGCCTCTAAATATTTGTAGAAGCAAATGCAAACAAAATGAGGGAATTAGATTGTGAGTCTTGCCAACTCTGCCAGGGTTGATGGGCAGCTGCTTCTCCTCCATCCCTGGATCCATGGACTTGATACAGAGTGGCTTAAACAATAAAGGGTTTATTATAACACAGATTGGGGAAATAACTGAGGGGATGTCATACCTATCAAAAGAGCAGCCAAGGGGCCAGTGGCCATCACTGCTCTTACTCAGTTCCAGTCTTTTTCCAACCACTAGTTAACTTCATTGAGGTGGTCTGATCTCTCCTCTCTCTTAATGGCTCTCTCCACATGAAGTCAAAATGGAGTTAGATTGTTGTTGTTTTTCGTGGTCATGGGACACATAGTCAAGATTTTCTCAGCCAGTGGTGTAACTCTGGTTTCCCCCCCCCACTCCCTCAGAAGGTTGTATTATTTTATATGTTATATGTTATTTTATGCTGTGTTCTTAGTGGAATTGCCTGTGTGCATGATCTGCCCCATTTCTTTTCAGAATCAAAGCCAGAAAGGTGGCTGCCATTATTGTGGTGCTCATACTACTATTATTTTTTTGTGGTCAGTAAAAGTATGTCACAGAGCAGTTTGAGCCATTGCTTCAGTACTGGTGTTCTGATATGCCACTTTTTGCTAGTCATTGTGAGGAGATGGTTGTAGGGAGGGGGTTGCGGGGGGGGGAGGAAATGGCAGATTAAGCTGAAAAGCAGAGGAGATGGTAAGGGAATCACCAATGTGATTCTGAAAGAGCAGCCAGTGCAGCAGAGGACATATTCCCACACAGAAATCCCCTTTCCAATATATTGATGTATCAGTAATAAAAAAAATGCATGTGTGTGTGTGTGATTCAAGTATTCACACACACACACACACACACAATAATAATAAAAAATGCATGTGTGTGTGTGATTCAAGTATACACACACACACACACACACACACACACGATTCAAGTAGGAGGAAATAAATCGTTACTGCTAAAAGTTCTTGGGATGATGTTCACCTCAGTATAAATACCACGTGAATCAAGAATTGAGAATCAAGGTTGGTAAACTGAGGTGACAATGTGTAGTATGCAGAACTAAACTGTAAACTTGCAAATTATAACATAAATTGTAATTGAACTCCCAACCTACCTAAACCACTGAACTATCCAGTCAGCTGAAAGCTAGCTAGATGTAAGTAATGTGTAATGCATATATGGTAAACAACTTACAGTAGTTCTTATTTAATACATGCCAAAAATAAATTAAATACATGCTGAAATAATGTATTTCTGCAATTATGCTAAGGGATAAATAGCGTCTGTTTTATTTCACTGGACTCTTCCAAGAAACAATCGTGAATTCCACAGACAGGTCTAAAGTACAGCATGATCCTTTAATATTAAAGCCTGCAGCGATAACACATTAGGGCTAAAGATTCACAGAGCAGGTGTACAAAGCATGACAGAATGCCAGTTTCTGCTAAACTGACAAAGAGATCTGCCTATCAAAATATTTCTGTATAGGCTTCTCGGCTTTATGGTTAAAAAACAAGTAAAATCCAAATACAGTATGAGGAAGTTAATATTCAAACCATGATGTTGGTATAGTAATCTAAGGAATAAGGACCACGGTGCAAAATGAGATCAGAAGATATATAGTTTAATGTTCAGCTTCTATTATCACATTCAATACCAATAAGAATCTCCCTTCTTCTTTCCAGAATTCCTTTTGTCTATCTAAATCCTACACAGACTAGCCTATAATTAGCTCATGGCACTTTAGAATACTGGCTTAGATCACAAAACAGAAAAGTTAGAAGCATTACAGCTGGATTGATTGTAAACCAGATAAATTTTTTGTTCCTATTTCTGATGCTAGGATCTAAGCAAATCTACCACTGCCACATGGAGGCTTTCCGGAACATGACTTTTTTAACAATCAAATTCAGCTAATTGTGCTGCTTTGCATGGCATCAAAACTCCGCTGACTGAAGTGACTTCCTGTCTGCCCAATAGCAAAGTAGTAAGACTGGCCCTGTCCAAAACTGCATACAATTAAGCATAAGTGTTGAAAGTATTGTAACACGAAAGGAACAGTTCCATACATTGTGAATGCTGAAAACAATCTAGTTAAGATAAATCATGATGAATGAGTCCTAATCCAATACCATTGGTTTTAAAAACACTCTCAACTACCCAATTGCTTTTTTTGTGATCAACCATATCCTGATCTTGGTATGATTCTGTTGAAAGTTTCAAGTATTTATTACAACATACTGTAAATAATTGGTTAAAGACATTTAAAATGTGTGTTATGAAAAACTAATGGCAAGGAAAAATCTAGGAAATGTGCAATGAAATGAAAGGTGCTAGAAGAAGAATGCACAAAAGCTTCAGTAACAACTCTGAATTATTTTAAAAACTCCAAACACCCACAATTTGATTTTGGAAACATATAATGCATACAGCTTGAGACAAGAAGGTTCTTGCTGAAACTAACTGCAGCTAATAAGGCCTCCATTGTTCTACAAATTTTTCTGCACAGTAAATGATATAGTAACATTCTCTCACCATCTGTTTACATCTTTTGGTGTATGGAGTCCCAGAAGGAGAGGAGTCAGCACTGAGAGCATCTTCAATATCCAAGTTCAGTTTTTCCAGTTTGTTCATCAGACACAACATAGAATCATACCATTGACTTTCCTTTACCAACTGGGTCTGAAAAGACAAATACAATGCAAAACATCCAAGTTTATGTACTTCGCAATGCTCTTAACTGGTGTTAATAATGCAAATGCCACTTAAAAATGCTAATGCCCCTTCATATCCATTGGTCCCTCACATTGTATTATTGCTGTTGCATGATGTCGGGTTGTCTCCAACTTATGGTGACCCTATGAATGAACAATCTCCAAATTGTCCAATCTCTCCTCAGTAGCCCTGCTCAGCTCTTGTAAACTCAAGCCTATGGCTTCCCAACTTATGGTGACCCTATGAATGAACAATCTCCAAACTGTCCAATCTGTCCTCAATAGTCCAGCTCAGCTCTTGTAAACTCAAGCCTATGGCTTCCTTTAGAGAGTCAATCCATCTTGGATTTGGTCATCCTCTTACCCTGCTGCCCTCAACCTTTCCCAGCATTATTATTTTTTTCCAGAGAATCCTGCCTTCTCCTGATGTGCCCAAAGTAGGACAGCTTTGGTTTTGTCTTTTTGACTCCAGGGATAGTTTGGGCTTGATTTGATCTAGGACCCACTTGTTTGTCTTTCCGGCAGTTCAAGGTATCTAGAAAGCACTCCTCGAGCACCATATTTCAAATAAATATTTTTTCCCTGTCAGCTTTCTTTGCTGCCCAGCTTTTAGACCCATTTATAGTGATCAGGAATACAACAGTGCAGATGATCTTGTTATTGGTCTCCAGTGACATACAGTGGGGTCTTGACTTACGAACTTAATCCATATTGGAAGGCAGTTCTCAGGTTGAAAAGTTCTTAAATCGAATCTGCATTTCCCATACGAATGCATTGAAAACCATTTAATCCGTATCTGCTCTTTTCGTCCATAGAAACTAATGGGAAGCTGCTATTCTGCCTTCGACCACTAGAGGGGGATATTTTTTTCTTTTTTCCTTCTAAGATGACTTAACTTTAAAAAAAGGGAAAAAAAGAGTTCGTAACTCGAATCTAAGTCCGTAAGTAGAGTCCATATATTCTTATGAGAGCGGTTCGTAAGTCGAAATGTTCGTATGTCGAGCCGTTCGTAAGTCGAGACCCCACTGTATCATTACACTTGATGATCTTTTCTAATTCTTTCATTGCTGTCCTTCTAAGGCTCAGTCTTCTTCTGATTTCTTCGCTGTGGTCTCCATTTGGATTGATGACTGAATCAAGTTATAACTTTGGTCATATACTACAAGAGAACAAATAAAACTGTTTATCTAAGAAAAAAACAATAGGCAGAACAAAGAGCCATTTATAAGGCAGTGAAGGATCACGGAGCTTGCTTCTGTTCCATGTGAGAAAGAACTCGGATCCAATTGCCAACTGTCCCTGGGCATAATTTTTCCAGCACTTGCCAGAATTTTGCTGGGTTTGTGCACAGTAAATCCAAAATTGTGTAACTGGTGTACGAGTTCTTTCCAGCTCCCTGTTGTGTGCATAGACCCAGGTCACATGCTCACTTGTATACACGGTTGCGCACCTGGGTATATAAGAAAAAGCCAGAAAATTGCAAAAACTGCTTGCACAAATTTCTTTTATGTGATTTGTATTTTGACCATTGATATGTATGTGTTCCAGTAATGGACACATTTTCCCTCAGAACTTGAAATAAATGTATTATAAATGAAATAAATGACATGTCATTTCTTGGTTTTTAGAAATATATTTGAACTTATTTTTTTTAAAAAAAGCTTCTGATTTTTATGTAGAGTTTTATCCAGGAAACTACCTACAGTGTAAAATATGTTCTCTGTTTCACTATGAAGCATGTCGAAATAGGCATACTAGCTGCCCACAAATATGAACTTGAAGGAATGTGACAAAAATGAACAAGCATTTATAAAATGTGTAGAAAAGAGTGTTGGCTTCAATGTCCAGCTTTATGATATACTGGAATTAAAAAGCCTTCTGATCTCAGCTATAAATACTGGGATTGATGATTGCACAGACACACAATCCTTGCTTTTTGTCAATATTACTCAGTGCTTTTTTAGGGCAAATGACTTAGAATTGTTCGGCATACAAGTACTTAACCATTCAGTCATGAAGCTATTTATTGTGCTCTTGATCAAAGCCATTAGTGCCATTTAAAAAAATTTATGTATGCCAGATATCTAACCCCTAAATCTGGCATTTGATTATAAAGAACTTATTCAGAATGTTTCAGTGTCTATGATATTTCTGATTCCTCCTTTTTAAACATCCACACTCGTGTCATTGCTATTCATCTCGATGTAAAAAGAAAGACATAGCATGAAATTGAAATGTTACGGGAGTGCCAAACAGTCACCATACAAAGAAATGGACACACAAACTCTCAAAGGCTGAAAACATTTCTTCAGTTTAAAATGAAACAATCTTTAAAGTGATTTTGTAATGAAGGTAATATGTACAAGTGTATAAAGGTTAGTTGGGACAACCATGTATAATTTTTACCCTCCAATATTTACAAGGATTCAGTCAGGCTCTGTAAGGGTAAGTCCTTCCATGAGCTATCATAACAGACATGCCATGCTTGCAAACAGGAATCCTGTTTGTCTAGTACAATGTTTTCCAGCCAGGCGGTTGTGACCCCCCAAGGGGGTCACAAAGTGTTTTCTGGGGTGTGTGTCACAGGGCACTTTATAAATGTTGTAAGGTAAAGGTAAAGGTTCCCCTTGACATTTCATCAGTCATGTCCGACTCTAAGGGGCGGTGCTGATCCCCGTTTCCAAGCTGTAGTGCCAGCGCTTGTCCGAAGACAGTTTCTGTTGTCACATGGCCAGCGCAACTTAAGCACGGAACACTGTTACCTTCCCACCGAGGTGGTACCTATTTATCTACTCACATTTGCATGTTTTCAAACTGTTAGGTTGGTGAGGAGCTGGGACAAAGCGGCGGGAACTCACTCCATCGTGTAGACTCAATCTTACGACTGCTGGTCTTCTGACCCTGCAGCACAGAGGCTTCTGTGGTTTAACCTGCAGGAAGGGATGCGGGGCCCACAGCAGCAACAGACAGTGAGTGGCCAGTCCAGCCCCAAGGGGTTGGAACCTTGTTATGTCCACCTGTGGGGGGGTACTCGTATTTGTATATGAAAACCCCAATGCTTAGTCCTAACCCTAGAAATTAAGATGGAGAACAGTGGTCCCCAACCTTTTTTGAACTGTGAACTGGTTGGGGGGTATGGGGGGCATTCACAGGTTGGTGGGGGCAGCCATGTGTGCGTGTGCAGGTGGGCGGGGCACTCATGCATGGATGGGTGGGGCACATATGGGGGTCGTGTGTGCGTGCGTGCTTGCAATGGAGGGGGGCGTGAGATCTGTCTCCACGGCCTAGTCCTGCCAAGGCCACAGCCTAGAGGGTCCATACCAATTTGAGCCCCTAGTCTGGGTTTATTCAGTAGCAGATTAAGTTTTTATTTTCCACAATGTCTCCAAAATGGTATGACTCTAGAGTAGAGATGGGAGTATTCATATATGAATATCCCCACACAGCTGGACTTAACATCCACTCATGTGTCTGGTAGCGGCGGCCTCGCTCATCCTTCCAATCACTCCCAGAGCACCACTCTCTTCCTGCTCGACTAGTCACTCCAGGCAGGGGAAGGGAGGACGAGTCTTCCTGCACAGCTACCACATGGCCAGCCAAGCGGGAATACCCTCCTCTTTACTCTAGAGCATTCTGGGAAACTAAGATGGAGAAAAAAAGTTAAGTACTGTATATCATTATAGAATGTTAGATGAGAAATGGAATAAAAATCGAATGTGGGAGGTGACAGCTTGCTCTTTTCTTTGAAATATACAATAATTCTCTTGCTGCCACTACTTGACACATTGTTTGGAAAATTCGGATGAACAGTCTGAGCGACACAGCTCTCTGCTGAGAGTGTAAATGATTCTGGGAGTTTATAGGTGGGTAGGACAGAACATGCAACCTGGATTTTTCTATCCTTTTCTAGGCTGACTATTAGCCCATCTGAGAGCCTATCACACATTCATTAATTTTTTCTGAGCAAGATATGACACTTTCTAAAATACACACATGCAATTAGTCATATAGCAGATATCAGGGAATCAATCAAATAAATTCTCCCATATGCTTGAATGGATAGCCTCCAAACTTTATATGAATACTAAGCACCAGAAAATCTGTTCAGTCAATGGAAACCTGTCTGGCTTGAATTGATTCAGACATGACTAGAAGAGTAAACAAGACACAGGAGGACACACTGTACGGCACATACAACAAATGATTTAAAGAAGCATTATAGGACATTACTAAGTTAAGCTGCCTTAAGACCAAGAACGCTGTGGTTTGCGATCTAATTATAGTACAGTACTTGGATACTACTTGTTTTAAACAAAAGCAACATATTTGCTATCCAGTTCTGAAAACAGAAATGAAACTAAGAATCCTGGTTCAATCAAGAGGCCGAAAAAACACAGAATATGGGCAACAGAGTAAAGAAATCAAGACATCTATTCTTCTTCCGGCCAAATATCCTATTCAGCC